AGATATGGCTTTCAGATACGAGTTCACTCTCAATTGGCTATGGCGACTTCAGCGCCCAAACATCTCACTGTTCACATACACTGGATCACCCTGGATATCCCACACGCATCACTCTAACACTCGAACACACACACACACTTACTACTAACTACAGCTATGGCAGCTGTCGCTGCATCTACCCTATCGCTATGCTAACTCCTCCTCKCTTGCCCACTGCGTCCTCCGGGCTCATCTGCAGACCTCCTTGCACAAGTCGCTGTGGCAGCGCTTTCGCATGGCTCACGCAGGAATGAATCAATGGCTGGGCGCTGCCTCTTGATTTATACTTCAGAAACTCGTTGGTCTGCCCTTTGCCATCGGCCCTTGGTGCTCACAGTCCCCCTGTGGTACTTGCTGGACTGGACTGGGACTCTCTAGACCCTTCTGCTGACTGTAGGCAGTCGTACCGYCGACTCAGTGYAGTTGCACTGAGGTCCTACCTGTTGACCTTGCCACTTGTCTTCGTCTGAAAACGTGGGCCTGCCTTAGACTCACCACTTGACCACTTGCCGACCTTCTAGAAGGACTACAGCTACGCCTCTGGACTCTACTTGGACTCCTACCTTACAGGTCTACAGTTCGAATCTCCCTACAGCCTACAACCTACGACGACCTACTTACCACTGACTATTGTGCAGGTCACGGGTTCAACTCCAGGGAACTGTGCAGATACTGTACACAGCTAAGCTGAGGTCAAGGGATCGACCCCTGGGATCTGCATTGGCTACTGCCAAAGGTGAAAACTGTTTCAAATCCTCCTTCAACATTTTAGGTGAAACGGATTCCACCTTTCGCAGTAGCCGATGCAGATTCCAGGGCTCGATCCCTAGTCCTCACTTCACCTGTGTATAGTATCTGAGTTGACCCTGAGAGTTGAACCCATGACTTGTGTATTCGCAGTAGTTGGTAGGCTGTCGTAGGTCCGTAGGTTGTAGGGTTCGATCTGTAGACCTGTCGTTTGTAGGTCTTAGCAGGTCCTAGGAGTCGTAGCTGTAGCTCCTCCGAAGGGTCAAAGTCGTAGCTGCTGTATTCCTGAAAGGTCAAGGTCGTAGCTGCTACGGTACCGAAAGGCCAAGTCTACGGACTTCCGGAAGGTTCGGAAGTGGCCTTTCGGAGCTTGCCCACGTTTAGACAGAGGCAAGTGGGCAAGTGGCGACGTGAACTGCAGTACGTCGGCAGTGCGACTGCGTTGAGTGGACAATGCGTCCCCATGCAGTCAGTGGTATCAGTCCCAGTCAGTCAGGGTCCAGCCAAGCAAGTACCGTGTGGGACTGTGTGCACCCAGGGCATGGGAAAGGGGCAGACCAACAAGCTACAGAAGTATAAAGCAAGAGGCAGCAATCAGTCAGGTATTCATTCGCTGCGGAAGCCATGCGGAAGCGCTGCTACAGCGTCTTGTGCGAAGGTGGTCTGCAGGTTGCCCGAAGACGAAGTGGGCTGAAGGGCGATCATAACCATAATCAGTAGTGGTAGTGCGGCCATACCCATAGCCGCTGTTGGAGGAAGTGAGATTAAGCGTGTGTGTGTGGTGGACGCAGTGAATCAGACAGCAAGGGAATTGGAAGAAGTAAAGAATCTGGGAGAGCAGATGGCGGCCCAGGCGGACCTGTTGGGGAAAATGCAGATCATGGCGAGGAACATAGAGCGCCTGGCCCAGGTCCAGGAAGAGCAATATCAGTTTGGTAGGAGTCAGGACATGGCCCTGCTGTCGGTACGGCTGGGATTTACTTTGCACGTGAGTTAGTGATGCAGGTGGGCTCAAAGATGAAGGCCCGCCTAGAGAACACATAGCGTTATTGCACGAGCGCCATAGAGGGCGCCGGGCTGGCTACACCCGAGGAAAAAGAACCACGTCCTTGTAGGGAGCCTGTTAAAGTGAAATTCCCCGACTCCTAAAGTGGAAAGGAGGAGGAAAACTTCGACAATTGGGAAGCCAATATTAAAACGTATGTGCACTTGCAGAAAGTCGCCCCAGATGAACACGCCCTGATAGCCATCCACGCTCTTAGGGAGGAAGCAGCAAGCTTCGCCCATTCCCTGTGTCGCACCGCCAATTGCAACGATGACTTAGTTGCGTATTCATCGTTTACCCCTCTCAACGATTTCCTCAAGTTATTGAGAGAACGGTTTGCAGACGTTACCCGTAGTGTCAAAGCCTCAGATAAGCTGCAAACCATCAATTCTCGCCAATGGAAGAGTGTCAGGGCACTCAAAGGTGTGATGGACGAGTTAGTCACCGTTCGTGACCATGGGGTCACTGAGACCCAATTGGTCAACCTCTTCTATCGTGCAATGCCAGAACAACTATGGGGGCATTTCTTTGAAAACAGTCAGCAGCCTACC